AAGAGAGAGGAAGAGAGAGAGAGAGAGAGAGAGAGAGAGAGAGAGAGAAGGGATAGAGAGTAAAGGGAGAGAGAAGGGAGGTAGAGAGAAAGAGAGAGTGGAGAGAGAAAGGAGAGAGTGAAAGAAAGGCAGAGAGAGAGAGAGAGAGAGAGAGAGAGAGAAGGGAAACAAAGACAGGAACTATAGAATGAAAAGAGAGAGAAGAGAATGAGAGAAGGGAAAGAGAGGAGAGAGATAGTGAGAGAGAAAAAGGAAGGAGAAAAAAAAGAGAGAGCAAGAGAAAGAAGAGAGGCAGAGAGAGAGAAGGTAGTTAGAGAATGAAAAGAGAGAGGATATGGAGGAAGAAGAAAGAAGTAAAGAGAAGAGAGAGGGAAAAAAGGGAGACAGAAGGGAAGAGAGAGAGAAAAGGGAGAAAGAAAGGAGTGAGAGAAGAGAGAGCCCAAGTAAAAAGGGAGAGAGAAAGACAGAGAGCAAGAAATAAAGATAGAGCAAAAGAGGCAGACGATGGGAGAGAGTGAATAAAAATGAAGGAGTACACAGAGAGAGGAAAAAAGAAGAGTGTGAAAGAAAGGAAGAAAGAGAGAGAGAGTGCCACAGTGTATAACACAAATACAATCAATGACACAACCACTGTATACAGACCAAATAATTGGAAGCAATAAATCATTGTAATAATGAGAAAACATGAAATCTTCATTGAATCCAAAGAAAATGAGTTTATTTATGTTGAGCTTTAGTGTGAGAGAAACGTTTTACTTTGAGATCATACAAACCACACAAATGATCATATACTTTATAGAAATACTATACACATGTTAAGATGTAAAGATAATCCGGTAGACCTTCTGCACTGACATGTGGCCCGTCTGTGGGCCGCTCTCATTTACTAGTCTCCATTGGGGACTGGTGATCGGTCCTATTGTCTCTGATATGGCGGTCAGTTTAATAATGGTCATATCATTTCTATGTGGATGGCGTGTTCTCCACATGTATGGGGAAGTTGCAGTATGTGTGCAGGGGTAATCAGGGGTGAAGAGACACTTACCTGGTATTTGGCTTTGTTTTGTTCTGACTTATCTTGAAATTTGGTGTAATGTTTAGCTCTTCTCGATGTTCTTGGCTGGCACTGGGTAGAGATGAAATAATCATTCACTAGTCATACTCCAGCTGTAATCATTAAAGCTGATCTTTCTCTGAAGTGATGCAACTGGCACAACAATCCAGGGAGGAAGACCAGTATGCAAATACTGACTTCCATCTCTGAAGTCATCATACTGACACCCCCTTCCCTCGCCCCAATTTGTCAGAGAGGCACAGCGCACTGAATGATATGGAGGGTTGTGGTAGAACCTCAGAGCTATATGCCTACTGCCTGGGGGAATGTGCAGAGGAACATACAAGCACCTCTATGTTCCTGCTTCTAGATCTCCATTTCAGCACAAGATATAGAGGACCACGGACCAGTTGGCTTCATAGTGTTACCCCAGCCCCAATTTTTTCTCTAGAATTGGTTAAAGTTGGACTTTGGCCAGTCTTTATTGCTCCTCCCTTCCATTACACCACCATCCATCAACACCTCCCCCCCGGTACCCAGAAACAAATTAGACCCCATTATACAACACCAATAGATACAAATTGGCTTCCGGGGCTGTTACTTTCCCTCTGGGATTGGCAGCTCATGCTCTGTGGTCCCGGAACCTTATAGGGAACACGTATCGGTTTTGTGCATATTTTCTTTCTTCCTCTATTACTGTCGGGTCTTAAAGCTTCAATTTTCTAACATACAATTGTCCAAACACCATTTTAATCTCTTAAAATAAAGTGAAATACTCAGTATTCAAACCACAGTCCATGATTTCTGGATGCATGGATAGGTGGCCTACAGAAAAGGAATCATTTTGCCTGAAATAATCACAGAATGAAGCTGTGTATAACTTACCTGGACTTCCCGTTGGTTATGTTCACCTCTGTTGAGCTTTCCACAGACTTGCTGGATTTATTATGAGATCCGGATATACCAGAATGACGCGGAATTCTAGATAAACAGAAAATGGCGACAATTACCTGCCTGTTATAAGATAGATAATGGGGGACTCCTTTAATTTCAGTTTAATGCCTGCAGTGATAAAAATCATTTTCAGTAATCTGGAAACATTGGAAATAGTAAATACATATATATCTTCGCAACAGGAGAGGCTGAACCTGTGCGGTAGGCCAGAAGAAACCAGCAAGGTGAGGGCAAAAACTCAAACATATTCTTAGTATAACTGGCTTGAGCAGTGAGGACAGAAAAAAGAATGGTGTGGCCTTGGGAGGCGGGCTTTAGTTTATAGTATAACTGGTCCTGTGATTGGGCTGGGGGCGGAGCCATACCCATTGTATGCTGCCATGCACTGTGTCAGGAAATATATATATATATATATTGTGATAGTTTGGGGAATATAGCACAATGGTAAGCGCTAAGTGACCACTCCTGAAGCCGACTTTAACATACAAGGACAGTCTTTATTCATTCAAAAGGTGAACAGTCCATGAACATCACAAAATAACTCTCCTTTCTTCAGCATAAACGGAGCATAACAGTTCATTGGACTCTCATTAACACATCATGTTTTGGTCTCACCGACATCTGGCTATCCCATACACTCCCAGTGTTATAGTCCCAGGACTTTCCCTGGATATACCATCCTCCGCAGCTTCCCTCCGCTCCAAGGCTTTTGGTATGAATACCTGAATTTCAGCAGATGCTGTTACAGGTACTAATGGTCTGACTTATAAGAGTATAGATGAGAAAATGCCGTTCGCAAGCCAATACCGCCACTAGATGGAGCTGAGGAGCCCTGGAAACTCCTATGCTCTCCAGCACCATCTAGTGGCAGTAGGGACATGCAAACGGCACTTGCTCAGCTATTCGCTGGGCACTGGGCAGAAGTTTTACAAGTTAGCCTCCCAGGGAAAATAAATCTATACTTGATTGGGTAGTAAAAGCTGACTATAGCAATCTAAAAATAAAGTAGATGTAAACCCAATCACTAAAATCTCATATACATTTTCACATATTAAAGCTTACATGAGATTTTCATGTTGAAATGTTGATGTCATTTGGAAAGTAATTTTCAATATTTTTAAATCTGAAGCTTCCATTAAACTAATCCCTGGTGATCCTGCCACAAAGGACCTTACTGAGTCAGTTCTTACAGGGTATAGGGTTATAGGGTGACAACCCTCCCCGTTGTGTTCCTGTGTTGTCACCCTGTCACATGGGCTTCTGAAGGAGAGTACAAGTGGCCCTTTCAACACACATTACACAGATATGGTTATAGCTGACCTGGACCTCCCGTTGGTTGTGTTCATCTCTGTCGAGCTTTTTAGAGACTTGGTTGACTTATCCGAAGATTTGGATTCCTGAGCAGGGCTCGTAAATCTAATGAAAAGAATAGAAATCAATTAATTATCTTATCCTCTCTGATAGCTATAATGAAATCTCAGCCTTTTCTTAAAGGAAACCTGTCATGAAGGCTGTTACCTGCCCCCTGCCTACGCGCTGCTCAAGAACCACAGCTTCAATGTCAAAGTACAAGAGATATAGCGTCAGAACACCTAAAAATGTTTATTACATTTCTGTATTTTTTTTGTGAGAATATGTTTAATTACTTTTATTAAACTTCAGAACAACGATCCATCTACAATCATTTTGCCATCTTAACCCTTTTATATACAACACTTTATATAACTGTTAAACGACTACATTCATTTCAGTACCTCTACTAAAAAACAAAAAAAACGGGGAGAGTGGGAAGAAGGGGGGAGAAGAGAAGGAATGAAAAAAGAAGAAAGTAGAATGTGTGGGTGCAACCAGTTATATTTTATTTGCATGCCTATGTTCCCAAATGTCTTAATTTACAACTTTCCGTGTGTAACACAAATCTTAAACGTTTACATCTAAATAAGTGAACTTTCCTAGTCATTCTTTATAAAATGTGTATCTTATTATGTTTCTCTGGTTTTCTTCCCCTTCCTCCTGTCTGTCCCAATATTATTCCATTATTACTCCTTACCAACTCCTGGGGACTCCCAGCCAATCAGCAATGAAGCTGGCTTACCGGCCAATCCAGATGGCAGGTCATTACCTGCCGCCTGGCTTCTTGATTGGCTGGGAAGCCGGCTCCATGCTGTTAGGCCAGCTCCATGCTGATTGGCTGGGAAGCCGGCTTCCAGGCCAATCAGCGCTGTAGCCGGGCCAAACAGCATGCAGTCATTACCTGCCGCCTGGCTTCTTAAAAGTCCAGGAAGCCGGCTGCGTGCTGTTTGGTCGTCTCAATACTGATTGGATTGGAAGCCGTCTTCCAAGCCAATAAGCATCGAACTGGCTTCCCAGCCAATCAGTAAGCCAGGCGGCGAGTCATTACCTGCCTCCTTGCTTCCTGATTAGCCGGAAAGCCAGCGCAATGCTGATTTGCTGGGAAGCCGGCTCCATGTTCCCTCGACGTACTGCCAGGCAGAGAAAATCTCCCTCTGGCCGGAAGTTCCGGTATGGGGGTAAGTATTGGAGCATTTGGCCAAGTACGAGTACTCACCCAAATACTTGGTATCGGCACCAATACTAGTATCGGTGCATCCCTAATTTGTAAGATTTAACTCCTCAGTTTAGTGTCACTTTAACACACAAAATATAAAGGTCATTACATAAAGTAAACAAAGCTACCCTTAATTTGAGGTGCAGGGTAAACTTGATTTGAACAAAAAAACTCCCCTCATCCCTTGTCAGGATGAGATATGATACATGAAAACAGATATATAAATGGTATGAAAATTGTATCAGACTTTAAATTTAGTTAAATTCATTGATTGAGCCTGAGTGCATTTGATGGTATTAAATCTACCAGTACCATGAGCAGGAATTAGGACGCGGCCTACCGTCTTGTTTAACATAAGAACTAGACATGTGCACCAGCAAAAAATTCGTTTAGTTTAGTTTAGTTTTGAAAAAAAAAAAAAATGTTCCCCCCAATTCAAAAAAAAGCCTGAGGTTCCCCCCCAATTCATACCAGACCCTTTAGGTCTGGTAGGAATGTTAGGAGAATGCCAATTCAAAACCAAAGAAAAAAAAAAAAACTTTAAATATTAGTTGACTTGGCCGGGATTTGAACATAGGACCTTAGCAATGGGAATCCTTTGCTCTAACCGCTACACTATAGCCTCTGTACTTTAAGCCTAGATGTGTTGTAGAGGTAAAATGGTGTCAATGGTGCAACGAAATTCGTCCAATAACGAATTTCGGGAAATCGGGAATTTCGGATTCGTTTGCATTCGTCTTAGCTGTAATTCGGAATTCGGATGCATCCGAATCTCCGAATTTCCGAAAATTCGTTCAAAACGAATTTCGGAACGAACCGAATCGCACATGTCTAATAAGAACCCTCGTTCCTTGCTGTGGTCAGGGGGCCCCATATGAAATGTAATTCAGAGAGAGTCTGAAGACAATCAGCGTTCTCTTTCTTTAAGAAACCATAATGCCCCGGGAATCCTTTCTTATGGACATACAATGTATGAAATGCCTATTTGTGTTAATGTTTATAAATAATAAAAAAGAAATATGACAGTTTGCAATCTTTAGGGCTCATTCACACTGGAATCGGCCGGCACATACAGCTCCGTGCTGCGTGCACGGCTGTATCAGGCAGCTCCCGGGAAGAACAGGTGCAGCCCCCGTCCTTCTCTATGGGACTACGCGGCCGTACGCTGCCCTACGCTTACACGCCCTGCACGTCCGTGTGTGTGAGCATACTTGTACGCTGACAGGATAGATCCTGTCTGCGTCTGAGCCGGGACACTCGCACCAGCACGGACCTGCACTTGAGGTGAGCGTAGGGCGGCGTACAGCCGTGTAGTCCCATAGAGAAGGACGGGGGTTGCATACTAATCACACGCAGCACCTGTCCCTCCCGGGAGTTGCCAGATCCGGCCCTGCACACAGCATGGAGCTGTACGTGCCGGCAGATTCCAGTGTGAATGAGCCCTTAAACTTAAGATGTCTATTCAAAACTTTGTGATTAAAAAAATAATAAATAACTCAAGACCATTTTCATTATCCATTAAAACAAAACAACTCACCTGCTTGAGCCTCCATTGTGTACTAAGTCCACTTCCGTGTTATTAAAACCGGAGTTGGCTTTACCAGTAATGTTAAGATTTAAGGATCGATTATTTTTGCTGTAAAGACAAAGACATTCGAATAAGATCAAAAAGCAACTTTAAAAACGATTTACTCTGTTTTATAGGGGAGGGGGGG